TTGCTGTGCTCACATTATTAATTTAATTAGATAACTATTATTTTTATATTTTAAAAAAATAAATATATAATTTATAATTTATTATATAAATTTTAATTTATTTTTAGTGATATATAAAGAACTTTTAAAGATTTTCTATTTTAATAATTTTTTTAGCAAAAGTAAAAAATGTATTTATTAAATTATCTGCATAAAGAAGCTGATATATAACATATTTAAAAATGCATAGTATTATAAATCCAACCAAAATTTTACTTTCAAATGCAACAAGATAGAATTTATAGTTTTGAATGATTTTTTACTCAAAAACTTATATCGAATATTGGCATAAATTTTTTTTTCATAAGTTAACAATGGACAAAAATCATAAAACTTTATTAAAAATTAACTCATATTTACAAAACCAAATAAATTTCAGAAAAATTAAAATTTATATTAATTTTATTTCTATTTTTGCACAAGAATTTATTCAAGACTTGGATTTTTTCAACAAGCTCAACCTATATTCCTTTTTGTAGAAAACTGGTTAAAACAACTTACTGCATATCTTAAAACAAATCATTATACAGAATACTTTGGTCAAGAATTGGAAAACTTTATTATCAATTTTCAATTTAATCTATCAGACTTTTATGCTATTTTTTACAATGTATTTAATACAGAATATAATAAATTCTCAGCACACATTTCATATCATCTAGCTTGCAAGCTATTTCAAGCATCTTATATATTTAATCCTACCTATTTATTTGTTAATAATATTTCAAGAAAGGATATTCGTTATTATGATGCCATCAAAAAGCTTAAAAATCCATTGGATCATTAATTCAGAAATAGTTAATCTATTGTAATTTGTTATTTCAAGAAATGAAATTGAATGTGTTTTGGTCAAATTTATATTTACAACTTTCAATTTTATCAAGCATTGCACTTAATTATATTTGGTTATCTATTTTAAGTTGCAGTGTTAAATGCAGTTCTTCATTATATAATTTACTTTTAGATGAAAATAGACAAAGCTTGTTTAAAAAATCATTAAAAAATTTAACAATGTTGTATTTTAATAGAATTTAAAATTTCTTTTTAAATAAAATTTTTATTATGAATTTAGTTATATCTTATCACATAATTGCACATAATTGGTTATCTAATATCATATAATTGCACATAACTAGCTATTAGTATCATATAATAACATATAATTTTCTAAAAACTCTTCAAATCACATTATATAATTTAGTTTTAGCACCACATAATTTGCAATTTGTACTACAGAAAATCACTAGCTCTGTTGTTGTCTAATAGTGATATTATTTTTAATTTTATTAAGGATATATCAGTTTCATCATTTTTTGGTCTTTTGTATAATAAAGCAGAGTTGGTATAAAGTTTCTTTGCCTTTGAAGCTATGCTATCTATATTTGTTTTGTTTTCTTTTAAGTTTGGTTTTCTAGTATTGCTGCTAGCCTTATTTTTAGTATTATAATTTTCTATTTTGATTTGCTTTATTGTCTTAAATATAAAGTTGTATATTGACCTAAGAATCTGTTTCTTGGTTGTTTTGCTTTTAGTTACTACTGTATTCCTTTTGTGCTTTATTTTGCCTTATGTTTGATGCTAAAGTTTAGTTTTGTTGCTTTGTTTGTTATTTTAATAAAAAAGGTAAAACCTGTATTATAAATTATTAAAACCTACTACATAGATCACATTAGAGTAAAATTCGCATTTAGCTATATTTTTTATTATACAAAAGCAGGTTTTACCTTCATGTGATTTGCATAGCAGATTTTACTAATTCACAATACAGGTTTTATTCTGTTATATTTTAATTATTTATGTTAAATTTATTTAGTTTTTTTTTTGTTTATTTTTCTTATGTTTTTGCAATTTTTAGAAAAAAGTTTTTTAACAACTTCTTATTTTTTTATTTTTTTAAAAAAGATTTTAATCAATTATATTATTTAATATACAAGGTTAGGTTTTTTTTTTTTTTTTGTTAAAGGCCATACTTGTAGCAATACTTTATTGACTTTATATCAGATTAGCTATTACAACTATTTTTACAGAGATGAGAGTATAGCTAGTCATGCATACAACTTTTGGTTGCCTATTTAAGTAGTCTGCCCTAAGGTTCTACACTAGATGCCATACCTATAACCTACTAGGAAATTATTCATTTAAACCTTCTGATCATCTGCCCTGTCATATTGGAATCCCCAACTAATCCTTTGTATATACCTAACTGACATACTATCTAAGCAGTATAGTACCTACCCTTTTTGTACTAGTTCCTAGGCCATTACACATTTCAGAATACATCATCTGCCAGTAAGGTGCAAGGGGCCTTCTGTTGTTAACTATCTACCCACTTTTAAAACACTAATACAGACTACCCTTGCAGAGTTTACCCAAATCTCAGTACTGACTTCACAGCATATTCCTAGTACTTTTAGTATACTCCTGCTTTGAATCCAGACTCCCAATCCAAATAGCCCAGAAGGACTGTGACCTGTCCTTAGTATATTGAGGCCAGCCCAATATCCTTTTCTTCTGGTCCAAAATCCAGTGGCCTGGTTGGTAGTACCCCTCATCTGAGGTTCTTGTTTGCCCAAATCCTTCACATTGGTATCTATTTTCTAGGTCTGGTCTTTACACTAGTACTGTCAAAGATCCATATTACCTCTCTGCTCAGAATTTCCAAGTGAGCTCTGGCTTTCCAGTTCTACAGATTTACATGACCTGAAGACTTATTTTAGGTTTGCACCACTCGATACCAGTTTGCATTTCTCTGTGTAACAGGTTATACAGATGCCTCAGATCTGCCAGTTATGCTAGTGTGACCATAGTTACAAGTATTCTATTCTAACTGATCAACAGGATGCTGTTACCATAATACTGTCTATATATTATATAGGTGATTATCCAAATTTCACTGTCAGTAGGTTTTGAACTCACAATCTACCACTTGGGGGTATGACAACTTATCCACTTCACTAAGTCACCACACCCTTAAGGTTAGTTTTTTAATTTAAAAAATATAGTAAAGAAAAATTCAACTTTGAATCAAGATCTTTTTTAAGTTATATTTTTAATATTCTGTAAAAATTTATAAAAAAAATATATTAAATACTAAAAAATATAAATCTTATTTTAATAAAAACTTTTTTATTTTTTTAAGTAAATCAAGATTAAATAAATTTTTTTTATAAATTTATATATAAAATTAAGATACAGTTATTGGCAAAAGTAATGCCCAATTTTGATTTTATAACTAATGCTTAAATAAATATGTATTGCTTATCCCCTTATAATAATTTGTAAGACAAATTTTTTTTTTCTACTTTCTTTGACTTCTTATAAAATATCTGCAAAAAAAAACTTCTGAGTATAATAAACATGTCTGGCATTTTAATAACAGATAAAAGAGAAATCTTGACTTATATTGAATATATGAGTACTCAGCAAATTGTACAGAAAATAGAATATGATCCTACCACAATCTAAAGATTTTTTACCAAGTACCAAAAAACCAAGAATATATCAAATTTGTTAAGGTTTAGAAGACTCTATATCCTCAATAATCAAAAAAAAACACTCTAGTAGAAGCAGCTCTAAAAAAAAATACAAGCCTTTGTATGACTTGGTCAATAATTTAAAACTTGAATACAGTTTAAGAACTGCTTTTTAAACTCTGCAAAGTTTTGATGTTCGATCTTGTATAATAGCAAAAAAACTATTTCTTAAAGAACATAATATGAAAGAATGATTTGAATAATGTCAACAAAATATATCAAAAAGTATTTATGATTGATGACATGTAATTTTTTTTGATAAAACATCTATCAAGCTTAGTAAATAATTACATCAAATTAGAATATGATGTCTTAAAGATGAAAAGTACAAAAATAAGTACTTAATTCCAAGTTTTAAGAGTGGTAGGTAGTTAGTAATGATATGGGGTTATTTCGTTAATAGAATCAAAGATCCTTTTGTTTTTTTTGATAAATATAAATATTCTAAAAAATAAATTAATAAAAAAATATATATTAAATTTTTGAAGAATTATTTATTATCATTTTATAAAAGAACTAAAACATCTTATTTATTAGTAAATACAAAAATAATATTTTAGTAAGACAATGTACCAATATATAAAATATCTGATTGACTTGAAGACAAAAAAATCCATAAATTGAACTAATTTGCAAGATCTTCTGACCTTAATCTGATCAAAAATATTTAAAAAATATTAAAAGATAATATTCAAAATTAGAAAAACTTTCTAAAAGAAATAGATGATCTTAAAATTATTTTAAAAAAAAACTGGTTAAAATTAGATATATCAGTTTTTTTGAAGTCTGTAGACTCAGTTCCAGAAAGGATTGAAACAATATTAAAAACAAAAAGAAAGCATTGCAAATATTGATTAACTAGAAAAAAAAAGATATATATAGTATATTGTAAAAATAAAAAAAATCATATATTTGGTTTTAATTTCATTTAATAAAAAAATTGGGTATTACTTTTGACAATAATTGTACATCAAGTCATTTGACCTATAATTGGAGAAATGTTTTATGTCAAATAGTAACCTACAAGATTTTTTCAATATATAATTTTGGGCCAATTAAACTGAAAGATTAGGTGTAATATAAAATCAAAACAATCGAATTAAGTGAAAGATTTTAAAATAATAAGCTTCATCTTTAAAGTTAGAATTACAGATAAAAAAGGTTATAGTTTTACTAAAATTTTACAAAAATTTTTTTATTAGAACACAGAAGGCAGTTTCATAGGTAAAATTTCAAGTTAATAACACATGCTCCTTCAATATAATTGGCTATGGTCACGTGTCGGAAAATCTTCCCGCATTTTTTGAGGCGCAGCAAATTTTATTGGCTAAAAAAAATTGATGTACATGAACACGAATCATTTTTCTATTTTTAGCTTCTATTGATTAGCCACACAATATTTATATCTTCAATAAGTTGACAACTAACATGTCTTTAAGCTTTGGGATTTTGAGCTTTGGGAAGGACAAGTACAAGTTACCGAGAAGCCGAAAAACACCTCGTGTGTTTGCTAGGTGGACGGTTGCCAAGAAGCCGAGAAACGCCTCGTGTGTTTGCTAGGTGGATGGTTACCAAGAAGCTGAAAAAATATGCCTTGTGTATGTTTCGGAAGTGGACGGTACCGGACATTCAGACGAAACACGCCTCGTGTGTGTCTCCAGGAGAACGGTCAATACGGGCTCCTTTACTCAAGTAAGGCTGAGTCTGGACTCGTTGCTCAGAGTTATAAATGTAGCTGCTTGTTACCGAAGTAAATCCCATGGCGTTAGTAATATTTTCTCGCAAAAAGAAGTAGACAAAGATATCTCGCAAACCGGAAGATAACGTACCACATAGGCAGAAGTTTGTTGATTGGCTGATGTATATAATTTGCCTGGGTAACTTATTTATACACTTTAAAGTGCTTCGTTTGAGTGCTGGAAAACCACCTTTAAAAATAATCTTTTATAATCTAAAATTCAAGAGGTGTTAGCTTAGTAACGGCTTTTTTAAAATGGGTAAAGAAAAAAGCTTGAACTTATAAAAATCATTCCAAGATCTATTTGTAGTTTCAAAGCACTCAATATTCGCTATACAGAAAGATCTCACTTCTGACGAACTTTGCTTAGAAGGTAATTATAATAAAATATACTCCGTCTATTAGATCTTGCAAGGTGACTAGAAATATTTTTAAGAACTTTATTATGTTATATTAAATAAATTTTGTTTAATTTGAATAGGCACAAGTTAGTTCTTTAATAGTAAAAAGATCCGGGTTTAATTTTTAAGTTTGGTCCGCTCCTTTAGTATGTTTGGGATTGTTAATTGTGTAAAATTTTTGGATTATATTGTATATTGTAGATTCTTCAATGATTTTAGGTTTACTACGTAGTAATAAATATCATATTTGTCTCGCTCTACGCGTCTCTAAACATATGTGATAAATTCTTTTATTGTATTTATTAGGCTTTTATTTTCGATTTTAGCAGTAAATGATAAAATTTTACAAATTATGCAATTTGATTGGTTAATAATCACGGGTAGATCTATAAAAATTAACCAATCAAACAAACTTCTGCTTATGTTAAAGTACTAGCAGGAGGGACTGTTCCGAGTTTGCAGATCGTTACACAAGCGATTCGAAATTTTTTTATACGTCTTACAATACTTATTTCGTAAGCCCGAATAGATTATCTCCTTTGTGAACCTAGTCAAGTATATTAAATAAACTTGAAGCTTTTGTTTGTACTATTATAATATTAGTCAAACTTTTCTGAATTCCTCAATTTTTATATTAAATTTGCCTAATGAAAAAATATTTGAATCAAGTATTGTATGAATTGTCAAACTACTAAGTCAAAATTTTATTCATTAAAAGACCAAAGCAGAAAAATAATAATTTAACTAAGATAACATAAATGAAAAATGATAAATTATGTTATAGTTGTTATATAAATTTTGTAGAAAATCCATTATGAAGAAAAGCCAAGCACATAAAAGTTTTAGATCAAAAAGTAGAAGTTACAACTAAAGAAAAAAAAACAGATACTACTTAAAATATTGGAACTACAATGAAAGAAGTAAATGCAATAAATGAAAAGATAAGTATTATCAATCTAATATATTTTTATAATAAACTGTAAAAAATATTTTAAGCTAACAAGAACTTAAAACATTTTCTTAATCAGCTATATTTGGTAGTCAAGTTGCATAAACACAACAATCAAACAATAAATTATATAAAAAATTAATAATGCATATATGTCATCTTCTTGTATTTTTATATAATTTAATAATTAATTATTTAAAGTTTGATTTTGTATTATATTTTTTTTTGGTATTAAGGTAAGGTCTTACTTATATCTTTATTAATAATTTAAAATAATTATATATATATGCTATAACTGAAACCAATACTTGCAGTTAGGGTTAACCATTAAACTGCTAATTATATAGCTATTACTATTTGTACAAATCAAATAAATTAAAAATTACATGCAAGAATAAAAGTTCAGATTAATTTATCTCTGATCTAAACCTACTAGAATGGTTAAAACTTATCTAAATTTGAATATTTAGTATATAATATTGTAATATGGTTGCTTAACCTAACTAGATTCTAAATATTTGTTTAATAAATATGTCGTCGCCAGTTAAAT